AAAAAAAAAAAGAAAAAATCCCAACATTCTTCGCCGGAGGAAGTGAAACTTTTGGGAATGTTACTTGGTCTTGATTCAAGCTTATCCCATGCCCCCACCGCCAATAGAACAAAACTTTATATGTATAACCAATCGACCGTCCGAAACTCCATACCCTAGCTCCATTTTCTTGCTCCTTCCCCATCAGCGCCATGAAACTGAGATTGAGATCCATCGAATCCAAAGAAACCTTCAAAATTGAGGTCCCAAATCCATGTAATATCCTACAACTCAAACAAATCATATCCCAAACCCTAGCCAATTCTCCCCCGCCTGCGTCCATTCGTCTTTCTCTACTCAAACAAATCATATCCCAAACCCTCGCCACTTCTCCCCCGCCTGCGGCCATTCGTCTTTCTCTTAATCGAATTGACGAGCTCCAACCCACGTCCCCTGACGGCGAAGGCTCCCTCGAATCCCTCGGCATCACAGCTGGGGACCTTATTTATTTAACCGTCGAAGCTAATTCTGTGCACAACACTCAAGTTCCCCGAATTACCGCTAACTTATGGTCTCGATCGCCACAACCTGTTCATGATCCTCAGCCTGAGCCCGTCGGGAGTTCAAATTCCCAGAATGCCTCGTGTGCGGACTCGAATTTTATCACTGAGGATACTGGAAGTTCTCAAAATGCCCTAGTTGAAGACGAGAATTCTGAGGGTATGAATTCGGGTGCCGGAAAATGGAAAGCCCAAGATTCGAGTGCGCAGACGGGGGAATCAGTGAATTACATGGAGGTTGATGGTGGTGGTGATAGCGATGATGGGTTTATTGTGGAGGCGGTTGAGAAATCTTTTTCTGTGCCAGGGTTCTTACGGAAAGTGTTTACAGAAGAATTGGGGAATGACAGTGGTCGTGATCACAAATTGATAGTTATTGCTATTCACGCAGTTCTGTTGGAGTCTGGTTTTATCCGGTTTGATCTGAATCTGAACGAGCAAATTGACGGATTTCAATTCCAGGCTGAATGGCCTTCGACTTCTTTCAGGCTATCATTGATTTACACTCTTCCGGGAATAGTCAATCATGCTAGTGGTAATCCAATTGATTGCGTTGTACTTAAATTTCAGAGTTTGGGAAAATTCATCAATGTTTATGGCTCATTAGCTAATGGGGCAAGGCAATCTGGCACGCATTGGGTGCGACTGAATGAAGAGAAATTAGTGCCCTTTTTGAATGTTGTGTGGGCAAATTGCGGTTTAAATGAGAATATCAGTGGAAGTGATGGCAGTTTTATGGGTACATCACCTGAGAAAGAAGTGTTTACCTTTTGGAGGTCTGTGAAGGATAATCTTGCATTGCCATTGTTGATTGATTTATGTGAAAAGACTGGGTTTGAACTGCCACCATGCTTTATGAGGCTGCCAACTGATCTTAAGTTGAAAATCTTGGAGTTACTACCTGGTGTTGACGTAGCTAAAGTGAGTTGTGTGTGCTCGGAATTGCAGTATTTGGCATCAAGTGATGACTTGTGGAAACTGAAATTTACTGAGCAGTTTGGAGTAGAGGGACTGCAGTATTTGGCATCGAATAATGACTTGTGGAAATTGAAATATGCTGAGGAGATTGGAGCCCAGGGAGTAGAAGCACGTGGGGGTTGGAAAAAAGCATTCGCGAGGACTTGGAAAAACAGGAAGTTTGGCGCTAGTCGTAGATTAGAAAGGCCGAGGCCTCGCTTTCCATATATGCTTCCCTGGATACCACGAATTAGAGGTGGGCCCTATGACATTGGGCCTTTCTTCGAGGATCGTGCGCGAATGTTGCCGGGAAGGAGAACTTTTTCACCCCCTTGTAACCTGGGAGGAAGTAATAACCAAAATTTCATTTAGTGATGAACTTATGACTGGAGGCCACAAGTTAATAGTTTAGAGGCATATGTTAATGTCATTAGCTGTGAGTTCATTTTCTTCTTTTCTAAGAATATATGAGTTTGCTTTGTCGTTATGGCTTGACATAATAAAACGTCTGTTGTTCATATATAAAATATGTTTATAGTATTATCCAATGCTGTGTTTTGCTTATTGATTAGAGGAAGATGAGATTGGTAGATGAAGGTTTTACTTGCATTGTGTTTTGAATTCCTGCAGAAGTGATGGATTTCAGAGAAAGTATTCTTGTTTTCATTTTCTTGTTGGTTGTATATTTGCTGTATCTGTCTCTAGAACATGGAAGGAAACTGGTTGCACGGCTTGTTCTTAAATGCATATCATTTGAATGTCATTTTTTTCATGGTCGTTGGACCACGCTATGTGCTAGACCTTCTGGTTTACTCGAAAGGAATTCTACAACCTTCCTAGGAGACTTGTGTTCTCTCCAATGCGCACAGAATAGAGACTAATTGCCATACACGGATAACTGCAGCCTTGATCCTACTACATTCGAGCTCATCTTGGTGCATCTGTGAATGTTAAAGAGTGACTAACCTAATCTGTTAGGGACCAACTGCAATTTGCCTCCCATTATTTTCTTTGATGATATCTGAATGACCTTTGTCCAGCAAATACCAAAAAATTTCATGGGATTAAGTTCATGATACCCCAATAAACCAAATCAGTCATTTTGACGTTCAATTAATTCACAATGGCAACACTAATGAGAGTTTTCAAACACCACCTTACAACTTGATCATTACACTGTTGTTAGGTGTGTATGCTTTTCGTTGAAAAGAAGCACACAGCTACTTAGGATCTAATCTATCTTGAAACAAAGCCATGACAAGATAATTGCCAAAAGCTAAGGGCTCGATAGAATCTCCTCGCCAAATTTCTCTGCTTGGAAAGACGAGGGAGGGGTATTCAGTATTGAAACATCTTTGGAGTGTAGCTGAGGAGACTATTTTCCCCAACCCCAAAGAATGGTCCTCCTCCATTGACAAGCACTTGTGATATCAACCCTGAGGTGGTAGCACAGGACACTCCATTGTACATATGGGAGACGAGAAGGTACGAATTAGCTACTTTTGATGATGTTTGCAAAATCAGTAACTAGGCTTTTGACGATAAACTTAACTATGGGCTCCGAACTCTAATCATGTGGACTCTATATAAGAAAAGCCTTCATTTTCAATTCACCTTCTTTGGTTTTGGAAACCGATACGCTTAAGAAATCAATATTCACCCTCTTTGCCTTTAGATCCCATGCATTTCTACATGTTCACCTATCTCGTGTACCGGATCCCTTTGTTTCAGTAATAACATATTGTACATTTATAGAACTTACAATATTCAGTTGTTAAAATCTTATCCTTTGAAATTTGTATTTGTAACAATCGTTTTAAATAGAATTCATCATTAAAATTGACTCATAAAGGGCGTGTGTCCAAAGCAGGACTAATATTGTACTTGAAGTATCTCTCAAGTCGCTTCGTCCCCACAACGAGTTCCACTATGACACTAATTGTAATAATCATTTTGGGTAGGATTAATGTAAATGCCAATTTGTAAAAAAAGTACTTATACCACGAAATAATGCCACAATAAATAGATATTTCAAAAAAACTTTTCATAAATGATTTTTTTGTCTTTCTTTAACATTGTTGGTGTTGCTCTCTCTTGTGTGTAAACGCTCGTTAAATTTTACAACACTCATATTTCAATCTGTTAGTTGTTGCCGTCTCAATCCATTAAAAGTGTTTACCAGTGTTCTAATTAGCGTGCTCTTAGAGATGCTTAGGGTGCGAGACGTGGCAAAAATGCCACGCATAAGACCTATGCGCTAATTAAGCGATCAATGGAAGTGTATTGTAGTAAAGCTACTTTGTCAAAATGATTAGACAGAATGTTTGACATAATTGCACGTAGCTGTAGATAATTTGATGTAAAAATTGATTGTGTTTTAGATCGTGTATTGATAAAATATTTCGTGGCATTATGTTAAATTTTATGTGAAACTTGGTGTTCTTATAGCAGGATTGTTATACCTTTGGTTTGGACGCACTACGCAGTATATTGAGCAATTGTCTTTTGGAACAGTGTTTACTATCTGTCAATCCATTTGGCGCAGCAAGCAGGCTAGCAGCACTGCATAGTCGGAGAGCTCCTAACTGCCGCCGCAATATCATGGCGGTGACCGCGGTCATTCTCCACCACTTCCCTCTCTCCTCCTCCTCTCGGACAACATCTCATTCTCCCCTCTCGATTCGCACCGTACTTCAGATCCAGCACCACCGCCCCACTGCTCCTCTCTTTCAGGTTAAACACTTTCGTCGGTCTATAAATATTTTTGCACAATGATATGGTTGTAATTCTCCTTTTAATTATTGAATAGGAAGGACGGAGTTTGATTTATGATTGGCGGACTAGGGGCGTCAATCGTCGAAGTGGCGTAGTGACGGGGGATTATGGCTATATAGAAGAAGATGATGATGAAGATGAAGAGGAGGAAGAGGAAGATAGGAGTTTGGATCTTTTGATTAGGTTCGTAGATAATATTTTCAGAAAGGTCTCTAGAAAAGCACGCAAGGCCGTTCAATCTGTTCTCCCTGGCCCTATCTCATCCCAATTGGTAAGGACATTTTGTCAACTCGATCCACAGTTCGGAATTCTGCAGATTAATGTAACTTTTGGTGTTAACTTCTTTTGGGTCTTGAGTTCAGAATTCATTTAACTTGAGTAGCCGCGAACATGGTCGTGTTATATTCTCACTTACAATTGACAAGATTTTGCCTTTTATTGGTTTGTGATCTTGATAATTAGTAGTAGTTCTAGGATGAGGGGCTTTACCTGTTTTCTTTAACAGAACTTGTTTTAACTTTTAAGGCTACTGGGCTTCATTTGCTGATTTTAGTTTTGGGAAATTTATGGAATCACAATTAGAACTCTTTTACTGGTCATGAATATTGATTTTATCATTTTCTTACAGGGGACTAAATTTGCTA